CTCGCTCCGCGCAAGGGGGATGATCGCACCACGTTGTGTTAAAATGGTCAAGCACCCTCGAGGCAGTTACACAGTGCTTACAACTGTCTCTGGAAGTGAAAGCACCAGAAAATAAATTAAGTCATACGCAGCTGTCATCCGTACGCAAGGAAGTAAGCACAAGATGCCGAAAACCCTTGGCAGGATGCAGCGCACCCTTCATGCGACTCGCCGGATATCTCACGGCGCTTCGCGCTTGGTGATGTGAGAGCCTGGCCCGGTGAGAACCCGGCGTGCTCCGTCCCGGCTTTGTAGGGATGCGAGGTCAATGGTCTAACGACTACGGCATGTGCGACTATGAGTACCCCCCCCCCCCCCCCCCCCCCCTCACCCCCTCACCGATCTGTGTCACAGACCCAAAAACGAGCACCAAGTGTACGTACCCCGCACAAGTAGCGGCATCACTCGCTCATGTCATGTAAAGGCGGCCACGCCAACGGCAGTCTCCCTTCAATAGACCAATCTGCTCTCTGCCCTTCCGTCACATTTCTTCAAAAATACGACAACCAGGTTGCAAAGCCAGGTTGGGACCCAAAAGCCGCAGAGCCCCCATGCACGGGAACGAGTACGCATGCACAACAATTCAGTTCGCAGGCATACGCGCGGTGTCCAAAGCATACGGCGAGAACGATTGGCACCGTAGTGGCCTCAAATACCACAACCACAACAAGCACGTACCCCCCGCCCTAGAATCATGCAAAATATCCGCCCCCCCCCTCCCCCTCCCCCTTCCGTCGCTCCGTGCGGCGAAAAACCTTGGCGTATGGCTGCTGCACCCAACTCTTGGCTGGATAAAAGCACTGATATCAAAAAGAAACCACGCCCACACAAAGACACAGAACGATTCGCCTGCTTTAGGAAAACGGTGCAACAATAGTCTGACGATGCCCGCAAATGTTGATTTCAACTGGCCGTATCTATGCGGTCATGCACCGCTAGCAGTGCAGAGGAACACTTGGTGCACAACCGCTACAGCTGCGAGCGACGCGGCACAAGTAGTTGTGTCTTCGCATTGCAATACCGGAACCAGTTGAGCGCTGGTTCTTCCTTAGATACAACAGCGCACTCTGAGGACGGGCAAGATGCTTTCTCTACGCATCAGTGCACGCCGCCATACTCGCGGCGTGTCCTCGTCTCGAGAACACCCGCACAAGGATAACCCCTGACATGCTGCCAAAAATTCTGAGAGGCACCAACTGCGGCAAGCTAAACGCTCGCGCGCAAAAATATAGTTTTCCCCGGCGCGCGCGAAACACTCTTTGCAAAACGCCTCTCTTTTGAGATAGCACCCCTCCAGACAAGACCACCACCGGTACCATCAACGCTGGTACTAAATAGATAAACTTGTGTGCAATTGATTTGTTGCTGGTCAAAGATGCTCCCTCCGCGCATTTCTACAAAACGCGGCGCCCAACCATTCGTCTTCGAAACCAAGATCACTCTCCAGGTTCATGCCACACGGCTAATGAACTGGCAGCAGGGGGCTGGCCCTATCGTACATTGCCTTGTTCTCTCATCGTCGCGCCCCGTACGAAGCACGCGACACTCTGGCTGGCCGAACAAAGTGCTCCAAACCGCATCTATGCAACACCCAGGCTAAGCTTGTAGCTGCCAGAGGTACAGTTGTGGTCCTCGATAGTCGGCAGGGCGCGGAAATCTATCTCTGGCAGTTGCACTGGTGTGGAAACACCTCGCTACGGCGGAGACCCGACGTGGACCTGGATCGCTCGCTTCAGGATACCTGCGCAAAAACGGTGGAAATAACCCCATTAAGGATTGGGGACAGCAGGCAAGCCGACGTTTTGGAGGGGGGTGGAACAAGGGGGGAGCCGGAATGATTGACGAAGGAAAAAGCGGCAGAGGAAAGGCCTGTTTAGCAAGCGTTGTGTTGTGGCAGCGCTCATAGCATTTCTGCGGTGGACTGCAGATAAGGCACCGATGTGGTCGAATATGTGCTGATGTCAAGAAGGCGATGTACGAGGTAGGCAAAAATAAAAGTGACGGCCACCAACTGGGATGAGGCAAAAAACACGGAACACCGCAATCGAGTGTGAGAGTGTGTGCGACCGGCCCGCAACAAGGCCGAACGCCCGCAAGTATGGCTGCCGTCATACGTGAAACAAAGGTGAACGCAATCAGGTACAGCTCGAGTCTGCACCATTGGTCACATCGAGCAGCGACTGCTACTGTCATGACGGCACCACCGAGGACAACCATCGACATCACGACAACAAGAACGACAACGACAAGCGCATCCAACAGCATCAACGACAATCACACTCAGCAACAACAACGACGACGACAAAATCGACAATGACGATAACAACAACAGCAACAACAACAACGGCAACCACATACGAGTACAATTGCGCAAAGAGCAGCGACTGTTATCACGTCATGCCGTCGTACCTAAGATCGTACACCGGCAGCAACAGCAACAACAACAGCAACAGCAACAACAACGGCAATCATATACGAGTACAATTGCGCAGAGAGCAGCGACTGCAATCACGTCATGGCGTCGTACCTGAGATCGTAGACGCAGCGTCCTTCTCCCCTTTCTTCCCCGAGTCGTTCAGCACGCGCTGGTTCACCTCCTTCTTCCTCTCCCCCATGAGGTAGATGTCCTCGTCGACTGTACCCGCCGCAACCATCCTGATCACCGTTACCGGCTTGGTCTGGCCAATACGGTGACATCGGTCCTGTCATTGGGTACGAAAGGCGAGGCAACGGAGAGGGGACACCGTGGAGGGGGTCAACACGACGAAACAAACGAAACGTTTGCTTCTCACCCACCTTCGAAACGCTTTCTTCTGAACCACCTTCGAAACGTTTTCTTCTGCGAAACGTTTTCTTCTGAACCACCTTCGGCCTATGTTTACCTCGCACAGCATGTAGAGACGAGCGGAGGGTTCTGGGCTATCTGTCGTGGATTTCTATTGACTTGCGGACCCTTCGGGTCCATTGAAGCGTTCGTTTTCTTGGCGAGTTAGCCTGTGACCACGGGAATCGACCCGTTAAGTGTTAGACTAGTACGGACAGAGGAAGGTATTGGGTAGAGAGAACGGAAAGGCTTTAAATTTGAACACAAAAGCCTTCGGTCCTATCATAACGAGAGAGGGAGAAGGAAGGCGAGGCAGATGAGAGAGGGCACCGTAGCCGGGCGCGCGCGCGCGCGGGGGGGGGGTACTGATGTTTTGCATGCCTTAGACTATTGACCACGTGTCCTCGAGAGTGACAGAGCGGGCGTCAACATGACAAAACAAAACGCCTCTACTTCAAACTACTTCCCCAAACTCTTCACATGTGCAGCACGACACACTCGTTTCATGCATGACCGAACCACACACACTCCTTGACGAACAACCACACACATTAATACCCTTCCGCCACGCAGACTCTACGCAAAACGCCCCTCACTCGCTCTTCCACGACAACACCCGCTTCACAGCTTCTCCGTACACAACACACACATAGCATGTGCTTGCACGCAACACACATACACCTGCCGAGCGGTCGTGGGAATACTGGCAACGAGAGTGGCGGTAAATGCGGGGAAGATGAAAACAACGCAAAACGCACGCGCAGCCAAGGAAGTAGTAGCTATGGCACACACGTGGTGCAGTTTTCTTCTGCTACAGTATTGCTACGGTATCTGTCTTTAATCCGGTGAGTAGGGTAGACTCCCCCAAGACGCTCGGCCACAGGGCCCCAGATCGTGGGTTATGGAAGCACTGTATGTTTTCCACCACACTAGACTGTGACATAGTTTCATTGGTCAGCCGGTTAGCGCGGTCGATGCTCATAAACAAGACACACCATCTGTGAACGAATATGTGGAGAGCGTCATCCTGGCATTCGTATTTAGCGTGTTGCGCATTGTTCGAATGTTGGCCCCCTTCCAGGGACCTTCCCTTTACCCGCTGACACCGAACGTCTTCTCGTTGGTGAGTCGGTTGGCGCGGTCAATGCTTATAATACAGACATACTCACACTTTAATCTGGAGAATAGCCACCCCCTTATGGGTCCCAGTCCATGGCATTTACAAGTGTGTTGTGTTTTCAACCGTTTGGAGACTGAACGGCTTTTCATTGGTGAGTAGGTTAGCGCGGGCGCTGCTCATAATATAGACATACACATTAATCCGTAGAATAGCATAGCCTCCCCCATGTCGCCCACTCACGGGGTCCCAGATAATGCCGTGTACAAGTGTTTTGCGTTTTCGACCGCACGGAGACTGACGTCGTTTCATTGGTCAGCCGGTTTGCGCGATCGATGGCAACAACCAAAAGAAACACACACACAAACAAACAAACACACCTCCGCCTGGCGATCGTTCTCCGGGTTGAAGTCAACGTCGTGCAAGATCACCGTGTCCGCAGCGGTCAGGTTGATGCCGAGCCCTCCCGCCCTCGTGCTGAGGAGGAACACGGGGATGCTCGTGTCGGCGCCGAACTTGTCGATCAGCGCCTTGCGCTCGGACACCGGCGTGGAGCCGTCCAGGCGGCAGAAAGTCATGCCCATCGAGTCTCCCAGGAGCACCTGCGGAGCGGCCGTGACCCAAGCGGTGTGAGAGCGGGGAGGCGGTATTTATTACGCCCGGGGGTCATTGATGTAGACTTTTAATAGTGCTGGATGTGCTTCTGCTTTGGGTGTTGAAATTCGAGTCGTGGGCTCTGTTTTTCTTGTTTTGGGTCTTCCTCAATAAAATGGTATTCAGGACGGGGAATAAATATCATGCCAGCGGGTGGCGGAGGGGATGGAGGTGAATCCAAACCACAGGATGCGAGGGAGTTCCATCCAGTCTCCACCGCATGCATGCATTGCGGGGGGGACGGGGGAGGTCGAGAAAGGAGATTCATCGAGCTGGCCGAAATGATAGTTTTTTCACGACACCCACACCGACCTCGCACAGTGGGATGCAAGAGAGAGGAGCAAAAACGTCAAGACAACCACCACGACATGGACACATCGGACATCGGCAGCCGCCACACCGCGACAGGTCGCACTACAATACAGCAGCAATGATGGCCACGGCGTCCACTTACAGACATCCAACACCAAGTACCACAGCAACCTCAATAACAACACAACACCAACAACACCAACAACACCAACAACACCAACAACACTAACAAAAACAACATTACATGCGCACTTGCCTCCAACAGGTCCAACAGTCGAGTCCACTGCGAGAAGAGGAGCACCCGGTGCCCCTCCGACACCAGCTGCGGCAACAGCGTCCTCAGCCTCTCCATCTTGGCAGAGGTGAAGAGAGTCTCCTCCGAGAGGCAGAGGTGCTTCAGGCTGTCGAACCCTGAGCACACTTGGTGAAGGTCGAAGTCCGAATAGCCCGAGACTTCCTTCGCAACCTAGGCGAGAAACGCAGGACGTACGTACGTACGTGAGGGGAAGATTGTCGGGCGTACGTGAGGGTAAAAACAGTCGGACGTACGTGGGAGTGAAAGATAGGTCGTTTTGTGAGTCAGAGTAAAATTAACTTAGGTAGGACGTACGATAGGACCGTAGTCATGCATTGGTGAGAGAAAGATGTAGGACGTTCTGCACAAGAGACAACCACTACTATGGATAGGGTAGGACGTACGTGTATGTGGGACTGAAATATGTCATGTACGATAGGACGTTGCGTACGCGAGGGGTTAAATGATACTTCAAGAGTATAGGACGCACGTCAGATAGGCGGAGACGCGGGACACGAGTAAACTGTATTAGTACGGCCGCACAATCAGACGCCGCCGTCAATACTGTGCCCACACACGATGCTCAAAGGTAGGGCTACATAAAGCAGGGTTTAACGTGCCCCAGACGCTTCACATAAATAGAGCCAACCCAAGCGCAGACAGAGCAGCAGTAGCATTTTCTTCCTTTTGTTAGACTTGTGTCTACAACGTATCGGAATACGTTCGATGCACCAGCCCGGGTCATCCACATGGACGTACCGCCCCTGCCTCCTTGGCCACCTCAGTGAAACAAATCACGTCAGCAAAAAAATAATGCGTCCCCTTTCTCAAGACCCTTCTCCCCCCAGAAGATCTTGCGTACGCTCCCCCCGTGGTGATGCAGCCAGTCTGCTAACAATCATGACGCTGAAAAAAAATGGCTCCCCCCGTGCGAAACGTTCGGTGAGCCGGGATGTCCCAATCAACGCATGGCATGTCTGGTTTGGCGCAGCAAACGCCAAGATGATGACCGGCCTCTGGTTCATCCTTGATTAAACGTAACCTGGGCCTGGGAAAACCCGGCATATCGCTCCGTCCTGGCATCGCAGGAATGCAAGGTCACTGTTCTGACGACTACGGCATGCATGTACATGAGTATCCCCCCCCCCGGCCACGCCCTTCGTGCGGAACCCCCCTTCCCTTCTCACCATGTCCTTGGTAGCCTGTCCGCCGAAGTAGCCGGTCCTGTGGAGCACTTCCACGACCTTCTCCATCTTGCCGCCGCCCTTGAAGTGGTTCAGCAGCATGAGGGGGTGGTTGGCGCCCTTTCTCAGCTCGGTGAAGATGTTCTTGCACTCCTTGGCGCTGATCCCGACCTCCTCCAGCAAGTCCGCCTCCCCCTCCTCGCCACCCGCGTGGCCTCCGCTCCTCCGGCCGGCAACACCATCGTCCAGAATCTCAATCGCATCCCCGTCGCCACCACCTTTTGCTCCTGTTGTTGTTGCTGCTGCTGCTGCTGCTGCTGTTCTTCTCTCCCCCCCGCCACCGCCGCTGCTACGAGTGACGTTGCTGGTGAGGTCGGTGACGGTGCCGCCGCCGAACAAGGCGCGTTCTTGGGCGAGGGCCCTCTCGATGGCGGCTCGTTTTTGACGGACGTGGTTCTCTAACACCCCGTCGTACAGAGACCGCTGGACCTTTCGGGGGGGGAGGGGTACTCATGTTTTGTTTGGACAGCGGGAGGGCGGGTGGCGTGTCGACCATCAAGGTCTGACGAATCATGCATCATCGAGGGTGGCTAGTGGTTTGTGGTCCTACGAGGACACAGCACGCGCGACTCGACCGTGCGCAAGATTGATCTGAGTTTCAACGTGCAAAAAAAAAAGCCGTGCATCTCGCCAAAAAAGCCAGTACAGTCGTCGTTCCCAACGCCACGAGAAAATCATCAACGGAAAACGAATTATCCGTTGGGGTATCGATAGACAGAAGGCACGCGTCACTGTTGCGTGGGCAACAAACAAATGGACTACCTTGTTAAGTGCAACCAGACAACTGAAATTTGAAAGATTTCAATAGTAGGCCGACATATCGTCTGCATTTATGCCTCCAAGCTGCAACCAGACAAACGTGAAGGTTTGTAAGCTAGGCCGACACAATAGTATGCATGGATGATTGCAAGCTGCAACCAGACTACTGTAACTGAACAAGATTCCAAACTACGCCGTTATCTTCTGCATAGACGCCTCCAAGCGGCAACCAGACAAGCTCGAACGGTTCGCAACCTAGGCCGACGCCGTCTGCACTTATGGCGTAGATGCAACACTACCATTGTACAAGTACCATATCCCTCTGTTCCTTACCTTCGATAGCGGCACTTTCTCGAGGCTCTCGTTTTTGGCCACGAGCTGCTTCAAGACGTCCGACTTGAGGCGCCGGAGCACAAATGGTGCTAGCATACCCCGCACCTCCCGCACCTAAAAAAAACAGGTGAACAAAAAAGATAACGTCAAAACACCCATAACCAGCGAAAAGCAAGGCAAATCTTTGGCATTGAGTTTTCGGCGGCTGACATATGAAAGAAACAGAGATAGAGATCCACTTTGCGTTAGAAGATCATCATAACACAATACACAGTAACGACATCATCGGTAACAAAAACAAAGGAAAGCAGAAAAGCTGACAAAAAATCATGAAACAAGGAGGGCCTGCAAAGAAGAAGAGAAGATGACGCTGCGCTAAGACAACCTGACACGTTAAGACAAACTGCCACACTAAGAAAATAGCATGAGAAGGAGTTAAGACAAACTGTCACACTAAGAAAATAGCATGAGAAGGAGTTAAGACAAACTGCCACACTAAGAAAATAGCATGAGAAGGAGTTGAGACAAACTGCCACACTAAGAAAATAGCATGAGAAGGAGGACCTGGAAAGAAGAAGAAGAGGACGCCTGTTCGTCGGCGTTGTTGCCCAGGAACTCAAGCAGCGTCTCGATCACGTCGCTCCGGAATATTTCCGGCATGAGGAAAGACAGAAGGGCCAGCAACTCCCCGAGGTTGTTCTGAACGGGAGTTCCGCTACACAAGCCATTGGTGAAGAATGGTACGGAGGGGGGGGGGGG